TAATTACCATGATTCACACTTATTTGTATTTTCTAAATTGAATTCAGCTTTTGACCTGTGTTTGAGTATTGAGGGGACTTAATGGAATCCATCTTTCTGTATTCTGTGAGTTCTGCTTGATCAGTGATCACAACCACTGATTAAAGGATCCTGTGCAAGTTAAGCAGTGAGGTCATTGCTCCTGTCGTTGTTTATAATCATACTGTACATCTGTTCCTCTGTAGTCAATACCAACGTTGCAGAGAGACTTTGTGACGGAGGAAATGTTTTACCAAAGTCTGCAGCCTCTCTGGCTGCTGTCATCATTCCTAATAACTAAATGTTTGACGTCCAGGGGAATTAGTTGCAAATAATACTTTTGTCTATTACCTCCAGAAAAATAGTAATAATATAAAAATATAATTAGATAGTAGCATATAAGAATGTAAGAATCGTTATCGTTGATGTGTGCCCTAAAAATAGTTTTGGGGATAAACTGATCTATATTAAAATGAGAGTCACTAGATGGCAGCATTGCAGCTCATTTAATTAATACTAATCAATACATACTCATACAGTGGTTTGTACAGATAAATAAATAAATAAATATTACCAGGCCTATATCGGTATCGGTTGATATTGTGAATTAAGTGTTTGGACAATAGCGTCATATCAGATATCGGCAAAAAATTCACATCGGACATCCCTAATATATATTATTAAATAAATGATTAGTTAGTTAGTTTGAAGATTTTTTTTTTTTTTTTTTTTTTGACTGTCGTGTCAAAACCTGTTTCTGACAGAGAAAAAGTAGCACAATGACATTTCGAGTGATTTGCTTTGTGATCTCTCAGGCAGGAGATATCCCACTTTGGAATGAAAGTAATGTCAAATCCACTCAAGCACAAACTCAATCACGCGGCGCCGAAAGGGGGTAAAAGCTCAGTTTATCAAGAGCATCTCAACAGTCCACATCCTCCGAGCCCCGGGTGTGTGTTATTGTGACTGCATCTCAGATGGTTGTGAAAGTATCGCCTTCTCAGCTCCAGCTTTACCTCAGCCCTTGAGGATTAAACACATACAGTAGAGCTGGGAAATTGACTGCGCTTCAGGGTCAGGAATAAATGGCGATGGGATCAAACACCTGGCTTTCACTTATGTTACTTATGTTTCAACTGGAATCATTCAAATTCTCTCTTTTGTTTTTCTTTTTTTTTCCAGATTTTCACACGATATGGAAAATGCTACACCTTCAACTCGGGCCAGGATGGGCGACCCCTGCTGGTGACGATGAAGGGGGGAATGGGCAACGGCCTGGAGCTGATGTTGGATATACAGCAGGATGAGTACTTGCCTGTGTGGGGAGAGACCGGTAAGATGATGGTCCGCAGTACAGACTACTTAACTTGAAACATCCCATCAGTCCTTGAGACCTTGAATCTCAGTAATGGATTATTGTTTAGGAAGCTGGAGTCGTGTTATCAAGCTAAAGGATCCCTTATAATTTCTTAGAGTGGGGTCACTCAATGGTGGACCCACGTATGCTGTGCTGCCTGTACACACACACGTACAAACAAGTATAAATTAGAGCTGCTCCACGAGAACACTCATTGTAGAGAAAAAGGAAAAGCGCAGTCAAGTTACTTTCACATGGTTTCATTTAGGGATTTGATATTGTCCGTGCTGACATTTTTTTTTACATTTTTTGAGTGTATAAAAAATAAGGTTATCTATAAATTAACTCCATCACGTACTCAAAATTCACACCCTGTTGTTTGGAAGGATTTTCTGCAGCCTTATCAATGCTAAGTGTTGCATTTCTTTTTTTTATGACATTAAATTGCAGTATTAAAATTAAAAAAATAAATGCATTTTTGGGGGGGGAGCTGATTTAATGCACTTTACAGCATTATGTTAGGTTAAAATGTACTTTTTATACACCTACATTTAAAGTACTGCGATATAAGGGTTTTAATAGTGTAAGGCAAATATAGGTGCTTTAAAAATGCACACAGTGCAGTGTGTGAAAACGCGAAGATAAGCCGTAGCAGACGTGTTCAACTGTAGCTTATAAAATACAGTGACTGATTGTAATTGAGTGAAAGAGAAACACATTTGCTGCTCGTCATTCCAGTGTGGGTGTAAATGCTGTTCTAACACAAAGCTTCTGTGTACTGTACTGTACCGTACGTCAACAAAAACTGGGGAAACACAGAAAAAAGAAAATGACTAAGATAAAGGAAACAATCTTAGAGAGGTGGTGTCGTAACGCATCAGGTTATTGTGTTTGAAAATTAGTATCATGTGGTTTTAATTAATCTACTTGTAAAAATATCCTCAGAAATGTTGCTTGGTAACGATATTAATGAATTAATGTCTGAAAAAGCCAAACGGCTTCTTTAATGAAGTCAGTAGATTCAGATTTGATTCGACAGATGCAGTGGCCATTTTGTTCATAAGAGATCCATCAAAATGTTAAAAATCAATCACATTTATATTCATTTACCATCATATGAAAAGTATTGCTGCACTGTGAACTGTTGTCCTTGTGTATGTGCTACAGCTTAACATTAATTATACAACACAAAGTCCCAGACCATTGTTTGAGATGAAATATTTTCATCACCAAGGTCTGAGTATTTTAACTGAAAACACAGAAGAAGAAGACACATCTCAGACCTAAGTCACGACTGTCTCACTGCAAGTACAGTGAAACCTGGAGATACGGGAATAATCCGTTGCAGGACCGAGCTCGTAACCCGAATTGTTTTTTCCCATAAGAAATAACAGAAAAAAAGAATGAATCACACACACAAATGACAGTATATAAAGATTCCTGTGATATAAAATAAAATGTGGTTTTATTATGAGTTCTTACCTTCGAGACAGACGATACAGTAGCGGCTAATGGAGGCACGTATGGAGGAGGAGGAGGAGGGGAGGAAGGGGGAGAGTACGGAGAACCTTGATTCCATACCGTACCTTTCACGTACACTACGTAACTTACATAAACTTACATAAACATAAGAATTACGGATTTTTTATTTTTATTTTTTTGCTTTTTTCGATTTGTATTCTTTCTTTAGTGGGCACCACGCTCATATTTATCGACAATTTCCTGCTTTATTTCCATGGTCATCATGCGTTTCTTCTTCTCACCACCATCCTTACCACTCACTCTCTTAGGACTCAGCACTATTTTGAAGAATAATGCACAAAATAGAGAGAAAAATCATATGGATAACTAGCTACAGAAGCGATGTGTATAGAAGTCGACGAGCGCGTGAAGTGAACGAGTGAAGCGGCGTAGGCTGAGTGTTCGGCCACCTAGCGTCGGCGTCTGTAAGCGTGCTCGTACCTCAAATCTTTACTCGTATCTTGAAGCAGAAATTGGCTCAAAGGCTTGCTCATGTTTATGTCGAGACGCTCGTAATTCGAGGTTCCACTGTGGTCGTTTTTGTACAACCAAGACTGAGATGTGAGTGTGTCATTTTACAGCCTTGAAAAGTAGAAAAACATCTTCACCTTCACCTTAAGAAGAATTGATGACGCTCTGATTATTTGAGATTTGTTGTCCGTGTCCACGTATTGTAAACTATTGACTAATGTCTCTGAGAGCACAGACAGACACTGTCCAAGACAACTTTACTACGTTCTAATCCAGTTGTGTCTGTTGTCAGCTAGCTTTAAAGTGTCCATAAATCAAACAGGCACCAGAATCATGTGGCCAACATAAAATCAATGGAGACGAGAGACTCATCCTCTCAGGGTCGAGCCCTCATCAGCGCAGCTAAGTCTCTTCGCTGGTGCTCATCCAGACGCTAACGCTCTGCTTTCAATGCGGCGGCACATGCTGCTCTGTTTTTCTATTAATAATTTATGCGCAATCAGACATTAACTACAGTCACAGGAACACCGGTGCCCGAGCGGGAAGCCGTGAATGTGGCTGGCTCCGAACACTAAAGTAAATGGACTCACATGATGAAGTAGCTGCTCTGTTGAACGCAATAAATAATTAATACCGTTAAATAATGAAATGGTTTTATGAAAGCAGATATAGTCACAGCCAAATGATGCAATGGTTACGCCACACACGATCATACCACTTCAGCGGAGAGGTTCTCTCTTTGCTCGTACACAGAAGTGCAAAAATATTGCAAAAACAAAGAGTTGAAATACCTGATTTGGTTCAAGGAAAATATTAATTCAATGAGACATTGAGACACCTTGTGACCTGTCTGTTAAATATCATGGTCTGCCATGTGAGATTTCTGATGTTTCCTTGGCTGTACAAAAAAATAAAAGCTTTAAAAATGTAAATAATAATAATAATTAAAAGATTAAATATTTATATAATATGTCAAAATCGATGAGTTAATATTGTTATTTAATTTGCTAAATGAATCATATTAGTAATATTCATACCTTGGACTGACCCACATGCAAGTCATAAAAAAGGTTTTAGTTTCACCAACGCGCTACAGCTTAAAATAACATTTCCAGAGAGCTAATCTTCGACTGAAATATTTTTTCTGACATTTTTCCAAATGAATTATTCCATCATTTGGAGTGCTCACAAATTAAAGCAGGTGCCAAAAAAAACATCTCCCTGCTGTTATGTATCTTTCTGTTCCAGCCATATTTAAGAATGTTGATGTTGTCATCTGGATTAATTAGGATTACTTGGGATAAATTCACATCTTAAACAGATACAAAATGTAAATTACCTTCGGTCCACTCTGTGACTGTTGGAACTGCTGGTCAACGTTTACCAAATTGACCGAGGTCAGTCAGGTAGCACACTCAAAGTGAACGCTCTGTCCTTTCGCCTGACAGATGAAGTTGTCCGTTACGAAGCACGTATTCTGTTTTTGGTTTTGTTTTTGTTTTGCCTTTTTAGAGCGCGTTCCAATTTGGGTGGAAATTGACTTTGTATTTACAAACATCATTAATTCCCAACATGCCAACCGATTTCTGGTGCGTGGCCTGTTGTTTGTTTGTCCTCGCACTTGTTTTGTCATTAGGTGCAGGATTGGGCAGATTGGTGCCATGATTAATCCCAGAACCGCATTTATTACCTTTTATTCTAATCTGCCTGGAGAGCCTGCAGGACGTAATGTACCAAAGAAACATCTGGAGCCTTATTTATATCAACGCAGGCAGGATTTGCTCCAAATGTTTCAGGGGAATGAACAAGAAAATTTGCATTATTCAGACATGGCAGTGCAAAATGCACAATAATTATGAATGTAATGTCTTTTTGCCTCTCGTGTGCGTGGATTCCATACAAACAAAAAAACACTTCCAAGCGCCAAACATGGCCGAATCAGAGTTGGAGGAAATCTGGTGTTTATTGAACAAACACTGCCAGTGAAAGAAAACTGTTTTTCCAGGGATTAATGGACATAAATCCTCTTTAATGAGTTTCTCTTATCTGTTATTGGTGTCATTTTGGGCTGAGATGCTGTTCACCTGCTTTATGAATGTATTTCCTTCTCATTTAGCAGACGCTCAGTCTCTGCCTCACATGACATCGTTGTAATAGAGACTATAAGAACAAATACACATACACCGAACAAATGTCCCTCCGCCAACATTAATGGCTGGAAATTAACATAACATTTACATTTAAATAGCACTAATGCGTTGTTTCTAAATATGAAGTGTTTCCCAGCAGATTTTTCTTTTTTTTTTCTTTCTCCTATAAAAAGAATTACAGCTGTCAAACAACATATTGATCATAATTGATTGTGAAAAAAAAACATGATTAATCGTGATTAGTTGAGATCATCCAACATTCCTTTAGAGCAGTGGTTCCCAACTTTATTTGGTCATTTCCCACTTTAAACAAGTGGGGGTTTTCATCAAATCAAATCAAATGATAATTTACATGTTAAATTAACACCAAGTAATGACTAAACTAAAAAAAAAAAAACTCTTGTGACCCACCTGAGGGTCGTGACCCAGTCTTTGAGAAACAAGCTTTAGAGGACCTGGTAGGATTCAAGCCCAACATAGAGAAGGTTGTAGGTTTGATTTCTCCTACTCCTCACTCATAGTTTTTTGTTGCGTCACTATGGCGACTGCTGAAAAACGGACAAGCTAAAAGTAATGGGGGAAACTAGAAAAAGTTTGGTAACAGGGAAAGTTTTGTAAGTCAAATTCGTTATCTCCTGGTTTCAGCAGTGGCAGAACTGGTTGAGAAAAACTGATTTTCCTATGTTTATATGAGCCAGGAGGCCATTAGCTGCTCATTTCGGGTGAGGCGGAATGTGTGGTGCAAAAATCCTGAAAATGTCACTCTAAAACATGATACATGATAGATGCCTACAGTCATACATAATGCACTTTACATTTTTCACCTTATCCCTGCATTTTCTATGCACCATGGGAGGAAACAGCTGAGGGACCAGTGGTAGTCTGGGCAGAGAGAAAGAGAGAGGAGAGAATAGTAGTGCTCAGTGTTGGTGGGCATGATGGTGAAGAAATAACCACAGTTAGTCTCCTCCTCTCTCTGAGTGAGTAACTAGCAAACAAGAAGTGAGTCGAGCATGAAAATACAGTAGAAGAAAAGGAAAAATGAAATCCTGACGCCTGTGACTCCTGATTGGTGTGACTGGATTATATTTCTTTTGTCAATATCTGACTTGACACTCATCTGCGTACACGCATGTACTTGCGCGCCAAAAAAATGTTGGACACAAAAGCGACAGCAAAACAAGTCGGCAGCAGCTGACGTGTCAGGTGTGATAGAGTTAACAGTTAATTCCGCAATTTAGGCCAAATTTCACGGCCCGCAGTGAGTAAAGATGACAGATGGGAATGTTTTCAACTCAACTCAGCGCATTCTCTGCAACAGCAGAAACAGAGAGGTACGGATGTTTGTGCCCCTCGAGCCTTAAGCATTTCTGTTGGCAGCGGCCGGGAACATCGTCGTATCTAATCTGGAAAGAGCAATGCCAACGATTGCTGAATTCCGGGCTGCATCCCTGAGCTCTTTAATTGAAAAGAGTGAGGAATCTTGGCACTTGGAAGAGGATAGCGAGCGACAAGCGCAGAGGAAAAGCATCAGGAAACTGACATCCTACTTTATCCTCGAGGCTGTGCTCCGAGGATCCACTGAAAGCTTTGAATCCACTGTGCCATTGTCACAATAGGCAGTGCCAGGCGTCTGTGTACGTGATAGAATTATCTGAGCGCGCTACAGGTCTGAGCCACCGTGACATTGTTGGGTTTATCCCAATCTCAATATGAATGGGCTTCTCTTAAAGTCCAGAAGGCAGAGTGCTACAGTGGAGGGATCTGTCAGCTGTATTGAGTTTAGCTTTATCATCATTATTTATTTATTCTTTCATTTATACACCCTGGTCCTTTCTGGCAGTAACTAGGACGACTCCAGGACACACTGTCAACAACCCCTGTGCTTAGGAAGATATTTTTACCACTATAAACATTTAGCTGGGTTTTCATATTTCCAAGATCTTACATTAAAGAAGTATCCAAAACACCTTACTTCACAGTTTTAGTATGCTATAAACGTACTGTAGCTGCAAGGCCCTGGTCTGTGAGCTAACTGTTGCTATGCTAGTTTTTGATTCTCTCTCTTTTTGATACCTTAATTTAATTTTTAAATATACATTGGTGCTTCATATAAATGTCTAATATTACACTTTGTGAGATCTTTGATATTTTTTTCAGATATTCATTTACTAACTTTCTTGGCTAAGCTAAGATAGCTAGATTAACTTTCCTTTTATTTCTGCTTTACTTTATAGAAGTAGCTCGGGTTCATTACTGCCATCTACCTGCTCTGTTCTGAATTGGTAGACCTATCTGCCCAGGAGCGCACTTACCAAAGTTACATATTGTCAGAAGCTAATTCTTAAGCTAAATATAAATGCTGTTTGACAGTAGTACCTATTCTGACCAGTGGGGGCTTGCTTCAAGAATTTAATATTTAATGATTTTATAATTAAATATGTACAAGAAATTTAAAAATTAGATCATTGGTGTCAAACATACAGCCTGCGAGACAAAATCGGCCCACTAGGGGTTTCAATACATTTACGCTGGATACATTTAAAAAAAAAATAGCCCAAACACTTCATGTTCTTGATGTTTTGTAAAATGATTTCATTAAATACGAAGTTTTACTAATACACTTGTACTTCTTTGCATGAAAAAAAAGAGGAAAAACATGGGCTTATTGTTATTTATAAGTATTAATGTTATGAATGTATGTGGCCCCTGAACCAAAATGAGTTTGACACCCCTGATTTAGATGATTTATCAGAAACAAACGTCACATCTATTAAAATATTATGGTTTTGTCTTGATGATTTATCAGAAACAAACGTCACATTTTTTTAAATAATACAGTTTTGTCTTAGTGTTTTCCTAGATTTTCTAATTCTAACCGTAGTATAAATTCATTTTTAATACATTTTTTAACTGTTTCCAAAAACTACAAGACAGTGGGACATTGTTTAAGTCTTCGTCAACAGCTGTAAGTAGACAATGGAGGGATGTGAAATCATTGTAAAATTATAAAAGTGAAAATGCAACAGACCAGTGTTCTTGGAGTTTCTGCTGAACAGCCACAGTCCACCCAGGACGTCTGTTTGTCTGAGAGCAGCATGTACTAAATGCTGCTGGTTAGGAGAACGCGTGCATACAAATGACTGTCCCTGTTGTGTGTCCTGACCTCTTCCCACCTACAGATGAGACATCATTTGAAGCTGGGATCAAAGTGCAGATCCACACTCAGGATGAGCCGCCGTTCATCGACCAGCTGGGCTTCGGAGTAGCCCCAGGATTTCAAACATTCGTTTCCTGTCAAGAGCAGCGGGTAAGTCTATGGAGGGGGCTCTACCCCGTTATGGTCTTCAGAGATATGTGGTAGTGTGGTGAAGAAATGTGTTACACCCGCAACAAGCACTTCTTTTTTGGCTGACTATTTCTGAATATAATTCATAAACCCATGATTTTTTTAATACACGTTGAGCCTCAACGACCTGCGTTAGCTTTGCGAAGACAAAAATAAATTGTTTTTCCTTTTACTGCTGTTGCGTCACCGTAATCTCAATCAGTATCATCGTCATAATCGTAATTTAAATGAAACTAATAAGACAATGATCAAAACAGAGCTGAACCTTCCTGATGTAGAGATCACAGACAATTTGTTTTGATGCAAGGTTTAATTTAAGGGACTGGATTATTAAATATGTAATTAAAGCGCTAACCAGACACAGTCATTACACGCCAAAGCAATTTCAAATGAACATGTCTCTGCCAAATCTAAAGTGAGAGAATAAACAGAAAGTGTGTTGTGTCTTGACAAGATGCATTTTCATGAATAAGTAATCAATTGCTCAAACATTTGGAGAATTACCCTTTTATATCTCTAAAGCGGGTAATTGTAATGCTTTTAAAACATATCATTACTTATTAATTATTATTACAGACTTAATGTGTAATATTGGATTTTGATTTACGTAATTTTTATATTATGTTTAAATAATGTTTAAAACATTTTCTTCCTGAGAATGACCTCATGTCTACAAGCCTGAGGGAGATATGCAAATGAAAAAAATCATCAATTATTGAAATGGAGATATTTTTCTCTTTATATACTTCATCTAAGTGTACATACTTCTTTAGGTGATGTCTTGAATTCTGTGTTGAATTCTGGTGGTACCTTTGTGTCTTGAATTCTGTGTTGAATTCTGGTTGAATTCTGGTGGTACCTTTAGCACCAGGTCGCGACCTGCTCCTCTGCCTCGTCTAAGGCCTAGAGTCCAGTTCCAGCTCAAGTCAAATGTTTTTGCAGTTTTAGGAAAAGGCAAAAATCACTCCTGGGAAAAAGTGGAAATCAATGAGATAAACTAGATTAAAATAGTAAATACAAAATAGAAGTAAAAATAGAAATATCACAATAGTAGCATCAAATAATTAGACAAAAAAGTGACAAAAAACGTATCAAAACTGTTGCAGAGACATGTCCTAACATGTACTTTGATGTAAAAAAAATGTTAGACATCAAGTCTTCTGGACTCAAATGAATTTAATGTAATTAATCACATGCTAGCTGTGGATTAATCAGTGAACATTGTTTTCTGTTTACTGGTGCAACAGAAAGATAAATAACCACGGGTAGATGTCTGTGTGTTGTCTTTTAATATTCAAATGTATAACACACAACTCAGCTTCACAGAGGTGCTATGAAAACTAGCCTGCCTGTAGAGTTTATATATATATATATATATATATATACTGGTTGGAATTCTGATCAGGCATAAATATGCGCAAAACTAATTTTAAAATTTCCCAAATGAATTGATGATTAACACATTCATTTTGACAGTCTTAATTATCATCATGGAATTTGATAAGAAAAAGTTCTTAGTCCCATGTAAATCATTTATACTGCAGCTCCAAAAATCTGCTATGTGTCTTGGAGTCATTTCAGCTTTTTTTTTTTTTTTAAAGCTCTCTGAAAATCCAACTTGACCTGGGTGACTCATCCAGCAGTGATGTGATGTGATGTGATGTTGGCCGTGGTCCCAGTAGCTCTCACACTTTACCGCTCATTCTCCTGATCCTCGACCATCTGTAGGATCTTAGTGCTGCCGAAGCTTTAGTGGATTTTACCACAACAGCTAGCATCTCTGTGTTGAGTTGGAAATTTTAAGCGGTAATGTTCTGTTCCCCAGACAGATGCACTTAACAAAAACAAGGAAAATGCTAGAATATGTTCTACAAATTGGTCAGTCAGGCTGATACTTTGTTTTTACATGATGAGTGGCTTGTACTAAAAAGGCTAAAAGCACTTGTATTTAAATCTCATTGCTCTAAAAATATTTTCCGTGGATATTTGCAGCGTTCACAAAGAGTAAAGAAAACCCAGGAGTACGATGATGAAGAAATAAGAAATAATATTTATTATTAACATTTTTTAAAATTTTATTCAGGATGTTAAAGGGGAACTTTTTGATTAAATTTTTTTTCTTGATTTTGCCTTTTTCATCTTGTTTAACCTAACACTTTTAGGTTGTATAAAATAAACGAATATTTAGATGAAATATTTTTATGTTGAATTTATTCAAATGAGCTAAACCCAATCAACTATTTGACAAGTGTAAGTGTATTAAACCCTATTGAGGCTCAGCTGCATTTTGCCTTGCGGAGGCTGCTAGGAAGAGTTTACTACTAAAAAAGCGCTAAGGGGGCTTAGCAGTACGGTAGCATTTTTCTTATCGGTCCGATGTGTGGGTGACCTCTAGTGACAAACTGCAGTGTAGCATTTGCTTGGTGATGTTATTATTAATACATTTTTCTTATAATATTTGGTGGATTTGTATTGGACATCGGATCAGAAACACAACTCTGATGTGTCCTCCCCAGCTGATATAAGATCATCAGCATACACACGTATGTTCACATGGGTTTCTTTTTCACTGGACTCCAGGGAGCTGAGATGAGATGAGCTGGCCCACGGGGTAAGCGCTGCGCTGTCGGTGCTCAGCTGTGTTTTTTTTCCAAGGACGGACGTCACACAAAAGAGGCTGAAAACACAGTTTTCAGCATGAAATCAATTCAGCCTTTCACACTGTGGGAAACAAGTCCGTCTAAGGTTCATCAATAATCTCTGGAGGCGACAGATTTCTTCTTCGGTTCTTTTTTATATGACAGAGGTGGAAAAGCTGTTTGATGGCTGGATATCGAACACAGAGACACCTGTTAAACCTCCCGTCCCTTGGTATTTTCCAGACATATGGGGCCTTTACGTTATCAATAATTCAAATCGCCCCCAGTCAGGTTGAAAAAATCTGTCTTTTTTTCCTAAAAGCAGGCTCATTGAAGTCTCTCCTCCCATCTAACGTGAATAACTCTGTGGTGCAGAGTGGGGATCATGCAGCCTAACAAATCATGCTCTCTAACCAATAATGTGCAATGAAGCCTTGAGAGAATGAATTTGGGAACGATCCCAGTCCTTTCGTATCTAAACTGCCTGTGACTGTGTTCCAGTGTCGTCAGGCTGCGGTCCAGATCGTCCCATATCTTTGTTTCCCCTCATTTTCACTATTGCTTTTGCTCTTTTTTTCCCCCCATTTCGTCTAACATTCAACACGATTTCTCCGATTGCAGTTTCCCTCTTTAATATGATCCTCCCTCACTCCCCCGCCCCCTGTCTCCTTCTTTGCTTCTGTGTGTATTTATTTCATCCGTTGGCAGACTCACTCTTCATTAATCTAATGCAGTTTAGTCACCTTTATTCAACTGTGCTTCAGCAGTCCCCCATTGTAAAAAAACGTTGGCGGTTTCGGTCTGCCAAACTGTCAGTCATTCTGATCCCACTAAATAAAAATTATGCTTTTTTTCTCTCTCTCTCTTTCTCTCTTTTGCTCAGTGCAGAGAGAAACCTTCAAAAAGTAAACACTGCTCAGCTTCTCTGCTGCTTTTCTGTCTTGTGTCGTCCACCGAGTCACTGAGGCTCCGTCCTTTCTACGTTTTTACCATTTTCGTTTGTGCTTCTTGTTCAATAAATGAAGCAGCGTTTGAGATCGAGGCTTTTCCGTGTTTGTTTTCCCTCTTCTGTAAACACACAAATTTCCTGATGTCATTTAATCCAGGCTACATTGTTCATAGGGACAAACCGTATTTTCAGAAGTTTCATCTTATGTAGGTGTTGTCAGCACTCAGAGGGATTTGAGCTTCTATTTTGAAAACAAAAGTGACCTCTACAAATAGGAATTGATCTGATTTCCAAATATACTTTCAGTCTTAGGTGTTCTCCATGTGATTTGCTAAACAAATACACAAGAACAAAGTATTGATCGCCACTTTTACATGAAGCTCAGACACCTTTTATGTTCTTTCTGACTTTGGGAAATGCCCTTGGTATAAAATAAGGGGATGAATCACTCTGTCTTCTGATTAGATTTAACTCGGATTTACTGTGTATGATGTTGTTGTTTTTTTTCTTGAGCACACTGCACTGTGAACCTGCTGATATACTTTTATTTGTATGTTGAACATCGCAGGGGTTACTAGTAAGCAGATCTGCTCTCGTGACACATGTGGCTGCACCGCACACTCCAGTATGACGCGTAAACGTTCACCCTAAATGACAAGAGCGACCCTAATTTACTGCTGCGTGAGCAGCCGGTCATGCAGTGTTTGAAATGATGGGTGGGAAACACACAGCTTAATTTATTTTATTGCTCCATACTTCACTTTATGCCAGAAACATTGCCCTTCATGTTTATTTTATTTTTTATTATTATTATTGTTTTTTTTTAGGATGAATGAAATGTGAATCATTGTTTCTTTTTAGTAGGAAGACCAAATAGGAAAACGCTGTCTCATTCCAGTAGCTTTTTATGGGCGAACACTGAAGTAAAACCTTGACTTTGGTTAAAAATATGAACGTTTTGTTTTTCAGGGCACTGACTTAAATGGGTGTAGAAGAAGAAATGGGAGACAAGATGTCTGCAAATGGATATTTAGTGTTTTTAATAGACACCTTACTTATAAACTTGACTCCACTATTTCAAGAAAATATAGTATTAAAAAATTGAATGGAAAATATGGGGCAGTGTTCAACTTGAAAAGTTCAATAATAATACTACGGAAATACCGTAATTTCCGGACTATTGAGCACACCTGAATATAAGCCACACCCACCTAATTTAAAAATAAATAAATAATTCTACATATCTAGGCCGCACTTCTCTATAATCCGCAGGTGTCCACGTTGTAACATGGGATATTTACACAGAAAAAATTTTACTTCACTTTGGTAACATGGGATATTTACACAGAAAAATTTTTTACTTCACTTTTAATTAAATAAATACTTTTTACGAATAGTGCCTGTAACACAGCTGGTTACACGTAGACTTAGTGATCTGCTCCAGGGCCGAAGCTAACATTAGCTCTGGGGCTAACTCCCTTTACTTTGTGCTTGTCCACAGCAGAGGTGAACAGAAACAGTGTTTTAACAGCTCCTGTATAACCAACTCAAGCTGCAAACTGCTCTCAACTTTAGCTAACGTTCTCTCTTGCGCGCCCCACACACATACGCGCACAGCCATTGTGCAGACCGACATACGCGACTAGTATAACACACAGTAGCCTACTGTGATCACTAGCGGTATGAACTCTGTTAGCCAGTAAAAATCCATAAATTAGCTGCATCATTGTTTAAGCCTCAGGGTTCAAAATGCTAATAGTCCGGAAATTACGGTGTCTGTGTGTGTGTTTATGCATTGGTTGGCCTGCGATGTGAATGTATGTGTGTGGGTTGGAGGAATTTCATAGACTTTGAAGACTCCTGGGTGAGACAGTTGGCACCACAAACGTCTGTGACTGAACTGAATGAATGACACTATATTTATATTTAGCATGACTGGAAGCAAGAGAAACATGGCACATGAAAGGGAGAAAAAATTACATCACATCTTGGCTACAGAGCTGATACTATTCAGTTCCTTTGTGAATAGTAGGTGGTTGTATTAAAGTGTGTCCAGAAATAGGAGAAGTGTAGGACACAGCCTCCACACAGTGTCAAGGTCAAATTTGTTGGAGTGTTTTAAAAAAAAATGTTAAAAATGAAATGAAAATATACATCTTTAAAATGTATATTTGTTTAATTATATTTGCTAATGTATATTGCTCAAATGTATAACTGCTAAAGAGAAATCAGGAGGTTACTACACTGTTGCAACATATTTGTGTTGCAGGAACTAATTTCTAAACCAGCTTATTCAACAACAAAAAATCGAGCCTTTAAGGTTAAACACTAACATAATTTCTTTTGCCTCTTTAATTACAATTCGCGGGAATTACCAGCTGACATTTAGAAGTTTTTTGTTATTGCATTTTTGAGGACATTAATTGAAGTTTTTTAAGGGCTAGCAGTTGGAGAAAAACAAGTTCATCCATACACTGACTACAGAAAAATGGAGGTCAAGCAGTTCCTTTCAACTAACGTCCCGGTGCTCTGTTCTCACTCTCATTTTCAGCTGACATATCTGCCTCCGCCCTGGGGTGACTGCAGGGACAGGCCCATGGACTCAGATTTCTTCAGCAGCTACAGCATCACAGCCTGTCGAATCGACTGTGAGACACGATACCTGGTGGAGAACTGTAACTGCAGGATGGTCCACATGCCTGGTAAGAACCAGGAGCAGTTGATGCTGATATAATCGAGTCTGACTTCAGAAGTTTGACCAAACCCTACAATTTAAGGGATTACAAATTCCAGTTGGAAAAGTCAACTATTTTCACTCAGTGTTTATGCTGCTAACACCACAGCTGTTTCTTGGCTGCCGTCCACGTTTAATCATAGTCCTAAATCCATGATGAAAACTTTTGAATTTGACCTTCGTTAACCTGCGCTCTCCTATTCAGTAATGATTTGTTAGATCCTCCCTTTTTTCGACAGAGGTCACTTTTCGTTGCCGTGTTGCATGTTGATCACCGTTGACAACGTGTCGCTTTGATAATCCGGATTAGCTCTTATCTCCGAATGAAGGTGCTGTTGATTATTCAGGGCCGTCAGAGAACTCGGTGGGTCTCCATCCACCGCCCTCCGTTGTCGTTTATCTCTGCTTCCATCTCTCATCCATCAGAGTGAACCATAAAAAGAAAGTTTATGGTTCATTCTGATAAACATCGCTACCTTCACTGCGGTCTGCAGTGAAGGTAAATTGCGCTTAGGATGTGGGTTTTAGTGGAAATTTCAGTGTTTATATATATATATAGGTATGTCCAATAGACTTATTTTCAAAAGGTAGGAACACAGAAAATCTTTGGGCAACAGATACAGATCCAAATTTAGGGGTCCCCAACCCCTGGCCCGGGGACCAGTGCAGTCCGTAGCTTACATATTTCAGTTTTACTGATATACTTAATTCCGGGACCAGTGCAGTCCGTAGCTTACATACTTCAGTTTTACTGATATACTTCATTCCAAAAGAATCCAGTCATATCCCTTTACTTTTTTCATTCAAAGATAATCTGTCAATGTTTCAAAACAACAGGTCATTTAGACTCTGATACTGACAGAAGAAATGTTTTATTTTGAAAAATTTTATGAGGGTTGGGAACAGCTGGTAGTGGTACTTTGGCCCAGAGGCAATGTCTCTGTCATTGGTGTGGAACCCCAGGCTTCACCTCCTGGGCAAGTTTGAATCCTGGTTAAAATCATCTTGGTCTAAATCATCTTTTCCCAAACCTTTGATGGAGAACATAGAAGGAAGTAGAGAAAGTCCAAGGTCCTTCATCGGTGATTGACAGCTAAATTGTCCATACATGTCTTTGAGGCATAATCAGATCAATTCTAATTAAATTCTGTGACATTTACTACTGTACAATCACATACAGTGACCTGAAGTCAACATTCCACACTCAACCTCAAAACCGCACGCCTGATCTCGAGAGGACTGCACTATGTTGTTTTGCTGTTAGCAAGCAAGATGTAAATTTTGATTTTTGTGATTTGTCTGCTATCAACTTGTTGGTGAGATGTATCGCAGTCAGACTGAATTTGGTCATAGCCAGGAAGCCATTGGAAAGTGGCTAAAGGGCTACACGTGGCTTTAAATAAGGGGTGTCAAACATACGTCCCACGGGCCAAACTGGCCCGCTTCATGAATTTTGAATACAGAGAAAAATACATTATTTCATTAAATATGAGGATTTATCCAGTGTAATTTTTTGCATCAAAACAAAGAAGGAAGAAGACAGACTTTTTTGTTATTTATAGGTTTATTATGTTATGGTTGTACTGGTCCGGCCCGCTTGACACCATATTAGGTTGTATGCAGCCCTGAACCAGAATGAGTTTGACAGCCCTGCTTCAAGTGTAAAGTAAAATGGACGAGACGAGGGAAGTCTGTTTTTTTTTGTTTTTTTTGCTGAGCTCAGATCTGTGTTGTGTGTGACGATAAGTACTACAATGACAAAACTAATTAAGATGCGGATCTAATCACCATGCGGCGGTCTTCACATCTCTTTGCCCTTTACTTTGCATGTAGACTCTGTTGACGCTTTCTTTTTTTGCATCTCTGCAGGAGACGCCCCATACTGCACTCCGGAGCAGTACAAAGAGTGTGCAGATCCCGCTTTAGGTAAGGACATATCCCAGCATGCCGCCTGTCTGTGTTTAACGTTCCAAGCCTCTAAATCAGTTGGATACGACAAATATGAAGCGCTCCTACAGGTGATAGTTGGTATTCAACCACAGTTCATCTCAGGCCTGTCAGCCAGGTCCAGTTACATCTCAGCCCTGTCACACTGTTGCTTGTTTTTCTTATTGACGTGTAAACTGTCACTGCGGCCTCGGTGCTGCCTCTTATGTTGGCCTTGGGTGGCAGCTGTCTCTCCGTCCGTCTCTGTAGGTCTTGGTAACCGTTTGACAGTTTTTCCTTGATGTCTTTCACTATGCTGCCGTTTTGTTGTTTGTCATCCTGGGTTGACAGTAAATGTGTCTGTCCCTGTGTGTTTCTTCAATCTCGCCGTCTTGGCCTTCCCCACGTCTCCCTCACTCTATCTCTCTCTCTGTCTGTTCGCTTCATTTTTTTTTTAGACTTTCTTGTCGAACGGGATAATGACTACTGTGTGTGCGAGACGCCGTGCAACTTGACACGCTACGGCAAAGAGTTGTCCTTTGTCAAAATACCCAGCAAAGCGTCCGCCAAGTACCTCGCCAAGAAATTCAACAAGACGGAGCAGTACATCGCGTAAGTAGTGTTTTTAGGGGCTTGTTGGGTTTTTTTCCCACCACTCTTTTGTGTGTTTTGTGTTTCACATTTTATTTGTTTGGTTTTTTTTTTGTTTTTTTTTTTGCTGCAGTTTAAAGTCTTGTATTGGTCGCTGCGATGCTCGGTGATAAAACTCAATTATCTGTCATTCAAGGATACTCGGTTTAAGATTTAGTCACATTGAGTGAAAAGTAAGTTGCTATGGTTTTTCGTCTTTATCATCCTTATCCAAGCACAGACAAGGTCATGCGCTATCATTCAGATATTATTGTGACATAAAAAACACAGACAGTCTAACACAACTGACCTTTAATTGACCTTGAAGTATGCAGTAATATGTTTTATTTTACCTTTAAATTTGCTCGAATAATTAACTTATTTTATTCAGTAAAATTAGAATAACTAATAACAGATAGATAGATAGATAGATAGATAGATAGATAGATAGATAGATAGATAGATAGATAGATAGATAGATAGATAGATAGATAGATAGATAGATAGATAGAACTTTATTAATTTCTTTGAACATTGTATAATCAACTTAGTTGTGAACAAATAATACTAGGTAAATGAATGACCAACCCTAATTATGGGATTATAAATATGCCAATATGTCAAACAATCTCAAAAAGAGTTCTCAAAAGTATTAATCATTACTAATCATTACAGTTACAATTAAAATGCATGCTGAACATTAAGATGGTATTTAACGCTTGAGGTGCTTTGGTCAAACAAAAACCGCTAGTGCAGGGGTGTCAAACTCAATTTCACAGTGGGCAAAAACTTAATATTTATTGAAAGATAGACGGTAATCGTGCATTTTTTTCTGTTCTCCAGATCTGTAATGTCAAATGTTTTCATGTGGAAACAAACTTTAGTTTTGAGTAAACATTGAATCTGTAACAACCAAAGCTGTGTAAGTAATTCTAAATAAGACACACCTCAGTGGTGTCAACTCTAGTACACATTAGGGATGATCTTGCGGGCCAAATATAATGACGCTGCGGGCCAGATTTGGCCCCCGGGCCTGAGTTTGACACATGCTCCAGTGTGTTAAATGTCGATTGACCATGTATCAGTGAAACAGTAAGTGGGTGAATGTCGGAGTTATTGAATATAAAATCTGTGTCATTCTGGATACGTGTTAAAAATTTAAATCCGATTTATTTCACTAATTAATTATCGCAGTTTATGCCGTTATTTTGACAGCCCCACTTTCAGCAGTAGAATCTATGAGATTTCCCGGCAGCCATAAAACTTGTCAATAATATTATTCGGTCTCCTAAATTACACACACACACAGGAAAAACAACTGACATTTTTTATTTGTTATTTTTATTTTATTACTTTTTATGTTTTTTTTTACTTTTTATGGATTTTGCGCTGGCGCTGACATCGCAGCATTCCTAAAAATAAATCCATCCTGAAGCGTTACACTTTTTATTGAAACAACGGTGATAGACGGTGGTGACCGAGCTTGATATCATTTTGGCAGATGTGGCTCCTGGAGCTTTTGAACTGTATTGTATTACACAGAATGTTTCTGTCGAATTGCCTCCTTTCATTGCCATGAATAGGGTGGATGATGGGCACAACAATAGAAAGGTCTGCAACCAGCTGCATCCATCAAAACCATCGCGCACTTGAATCATCACTTTTGCTGAGACAAAGGCTTGAATGAGAAGTGATTACGATACCTGTCATGGCGCCGGGATCTATGACAGGAGTGATATTGTTTTAGTCATCAGGGCTTTCAGGTGTCATTTCAGCCTCATTACACAGCACTACTTTAAATTTAATGCACACACATCTGTGTTTTTTTATGGTTTCCTCACCTTCTCCCTAATGTTATTTTCAATAACTGCCAACAAAAGCTAAACAAGTGCTTACAAATGTAAAAAATAAATAAAAATAAGACGCACACAAAAATGTCTCCCACCTGAAATACAGCCCAATTATTGGCAACTTAGACGACATAATGGGGAGAAACAGACATCGGATTCATCTGATGATCGTAGTTTTATGAAGAAAAAAAACTACAAATGGGGAGGAAGCTTTAAACTCTGTATAACAGGGTTAGTCAAAATGTTCTTAGACAATTTAAAAAACAATGCTATTTCTCTACACATCCTGAATTTATGTCCAATCACTTTTGTAATTCGTGTTCTGAAATGAACACTTCTTTGTAAAATTCTTGGGACCAGAACATTTGCCTCACCTAAGGACTGTAAATAGATAGATAGATAGATAGATAGATAGATAGATAGATAGATAGATAGATAGATAGATAGATAGATAGATCTTTATTAATTTCTTGGAACACTGTTTAATCAACTTAATTGTGAACAAATGACATGGTTAAAACAGAGACAATGCCACAGTAGAACATTTTCTCCTTCTTATGTTTGATGTTCAATGTTTTTTTTAAAAATAGCAGGAATTAAACAGTAGTTACTGCCAAAGCCAAAACGAGTAAAAAAAACCCCCACAAAAGCCGATTGTGGAAACCTGTGCTCCTGTTGTTATTTAACATCACTTCACCACTTTTCTGCCGGCTGAATCACTGTTCATCAGAACACTGTCAGAACTCTCCAATGTGCTGTGACTGGGCTGTGGAAAAAAACAAAAGCTAAAAGCTAGGTATTTTTAATCACATCCGTTCACTTTAATCTAGCACGAAGGCTTCATTGTAACCCCCTGTACAGGGTCATCTATGTCGATTGTGGGCATAAAATTGGAAAAAGAGAATAAGTCGATTTTTACTGTTTCAGAGTTATTTTCCCTTCGAGTCATTCAAACTTTTTCAATTTCTCAAACCTAAAGTTTCTCCTCGGGATATTATGGAGGAGGGGGGATAAGCTTCAAGTTAAAATGAGTCTGTTACTGAACTCCTTAATCTGGTTTTATTATTACTGGCATTATCACGTCCTAAGTATGTCATCAAAATGCTATACAGGTCTTTCACCTCTGCCACCTGAAACACTTCTCCACGCCCCGGTGAATAGATGTGAGTCTACCTGGACTGGTTTTTGCGATTGCCCATATTTCTCAGCAAGTATTTAGTGGTGTGAAACTGAAGTCTGCGTCGATGAACTATATCTCTGCTGGGAACCACAGCTGCACGGCATTATGGACTGTAGAAACTGGACTCTGATCAAAAGGTTGGGCAGGAGGAATCAGTTAAACTGTCTGGCGGCATCCAACACAGACCGACCCTTTAATTTAATGTGTAAATAGTGAGGAATCTTAATCTTAAGCTAAGACCTGCTAGCTAAGGCATCGTAGCTATCCTGGTGTCGTTGAGGTCAATGGCGTTTCTTCTTTAACTTGATCTACAGTGTGTTTTCCTCTTCGGAGTTGACTGTTTTGAATGACAAAGATTTCCTGAAGTGGAGCCACGCTGTTATGGTCACATCTGTCACAGCAGTGTGTCGTCTGCCTAAGGGAGCACATTCAGCAGCTGCTTCCTCTCTTGGTCTTTAAGTACAGAGATTTCTCCTGACTACCTGAATATTAACGCAGTCTGTCGGAACACCTTATTTCTTCCAGCTTGAACGTGTTGTGTTGTTCGTATGTTGTCATTTTATGCATTTTTCACCTCACCGTTGTTGAAGTTTTCAGTTGAAAGACCTTGGATTAATTGGGTTACATAACCATAGATTTTACACTTTAATAGAATTTCTATGGAAACGACCAAATCTTATGAAAGTTTGATCAGGAGAAGAGTTTAACCACTGATTACATAGACTTTAAATTATTCACATTATCTAATAAGTACATCGGCACCGGTGCATTATCATTTTTTGGCCAGTTTCCTGTGAAGATATGAGATCATTACTTCCTCGCTTAAATTGAAACGATAAATTACGAAACAAGTAAAAAAAAAAAAAAACTACAAAGTTGAATTGTGGTTTTGATCTGACTCCACCGGCGTGTGAAGTGAGACTGAGCCACACAGTAAGTATTCAGAATTTAGAGCACTACCCTGCCGTCCCCTGGGGCTTCTCAACTAATTACCAATATTTTTCTTCCTGTCGGTGTCACATGTTATAGACATTAACAGTACAAAACCACACAGGTGTCTCAATCTTCCTTTAATCCCTCCAGGATCAGACCCACCTGTGAAAACAGTGGCTGTCTGTTATTTGCTGAACGTGATGCATCTGCTTTGCCATTAGCGGGAAAGTTGCTGAATCACCTTCTGTGCCCGAGGACTGTCAGATAAAACAATTTGAAAAATGAAAACCGAGACATTAACTTGTGTGACTGAAGGCCGTGTGCTTCCCTCTGTTTACAGCGATAACCTCCTGGTCCTGGATATCTTCTTTGAAGCACTCAACTATGAAACCATCGAACAGAAAAAGGCCTATGAGTTGGCAGGACTTCTGGGTAAGGATGCGGCTGTCGAGTGTTTTCCTGTGAATAGATACTGTGCCAAAAGACAAATGGTTTTTATATAAAGTGACAGTAATGCGAGGGTGTGCATTTTTCGGAGAGTAACTGAAGTTCCTCGCTCGCTTTCAGTCCACCAGGGTTTTTCGCAGACTCTTTGTGTCCCCTGGTGTGTCTTTTAGACAAACGCTGTCATCACGTTCTCATTAATGTGATGTCATCATTTACAGTTTGTCCTTTTGTCGTTCCTCCCTTCAGGTGATATCGGCGGACAGATGGGTCTGTTCATCGGAGCCAGCATTCTCACCATTCTTGAACTTTTTGACTATCTTTATGAGGTAAACGCCACCTAGAGGCCTGATTTACAGGAAATGTCCAGACCGGGATGATGTTAAAAGCAGTGGTTCTCAAACTATGGTATGGCAGCATTGTTGGCACTTGGGCTCCCTTTAGTGGTACATGGGGATTTGAATTAGGTGAGTTACTTACAGCAGCTGCACATACGTGTGTGTTCCTGGTATAGCTGTATTTGTGGGGAGAATTTCTGGAGGGAAATACTTTTGTGGTGTGGTTGTTGAATGGAGGGTCAAGATTTAGTTTGGGATTAGAGATTAAGATAAAAGTTAGGGCATGGTTTGCTAATGGCAAAGGCATTCTGCATGCAATCCCCTGATTATCAAAATAGATTTAAATATGAGCTGCTCTGCTGTCATCTAGTGACTGGAGGCTTGAATAAACACAGTATTCTTAAAGCCCCCTATGACACCGCGACCCCACTATTTAAGAAGTATGTCAATGTGAAAATTCGGTCTTGAATAGAAGTGTCAGTTGTTGTGCTACTTCAGTTTAGTTAGCGTTGGCTAATTACCTTTTATGTATTCTGCTCTTAGCTGAACAGTGTACACCCTGTAGTATAATCTGGGTACTACTGCTGGTACTTGAGGAGCCAAATATCTTGGTTGGTACAAAAGTGGAAAGGGGAGGAAAGTGATGATGTCACAATGAATGTCTTTTTTTATACTTTGTTATTTGATGTTATTGCTTTTGATTCATTATAGAATGTGACGTTCACTACATTTGAAATGTCATTTGTCAAGATTTTTGTGGGGGCGACAGGGTCAGGCTCAAAGATCCCTGCTTGTTCACAGAGTGGAATGATCAAAACAGTTTGAGAACCACTGCTCTAGAAGGTGGGGGTGAATGCTGGTGACTACTGCACAAAACACCAGAAAATCTCTCAGATGAACTAAATACCAAGGTCCATCCACGGTAACGTGAAGAATTTGAAGCACCTCAGGATAAGAATTTTAATCTTGGAAAATTCTGTTGTGTTCAAATAGATTTGTTTTTGAGCTCAGAGAAAATGAATGTTTTCTGTCCAGATAAAACCTGTGTGTTCAGGAATGTTGTGTTCAAATGTTCTCCCAACCTGTGGAAGAATCAACTACCATTGATATAAACATTTGAATAATATAAACTGCAATTTCTTTAACAGCTGGGGGGAAATTAAAATTGTTCAAGAAAGAGATCTTCTCATTGGTTGATTGACTCAACGTGTTCAAAAAAATAAAACAAAATCTGTTTCATTAAATACCACGACAAATTTACCACAACAGAATGCTGTGTACATTCTGCAGTGCCCACGCGTACCACTCAGGGTCTGTGTGCCCCTGGTTGAATATGAATGCTGTAGACAACAGGTTTTTACTTCTTGTTTCTCAAATGCTTTTAAATTTGGAGCAAACATTTGAAAACCACATCAATGGCTGTGTTTTTTGTTGTTTTTTTTCAGGTGATAAAGTATAAGCTGTGCCGCTGCGTGAAAAAGAAACACAAAGGCCACAACAACAACGACCGGGGAGCTGTGCTGAGCCTGGACGACGTGAAACGCCATGTCAGTGGGCAGCTAAGTATTTCAGCTGTGTCAAACTGTCCGGCTTTGACAGCATTATTCTCTGGTCTCTGTCCTCACTGGTCTCGACTGCAGCTAGAGCTAAGGAGCAGGAGGACGTGGCGGTGGTGGTGGTGGTGAAGGGGAAGTGAAACAGATAACGACGTGGAAACCTGCAGGGGGCTTAAAAAATTGAAAGGACCGAAAAAATAAGTGGGAGAGAGAAAAAAAAAGGATTGGAAAAAGAAAAAAGTGGACACAGTGGAGAGTAGTTTGAAATTAATCAAAGCTGGTGGACAGGGAGGAGGAGGAGGCACAGTGTGGAATTAGAGTTGTGGAAGGTTTGACGGCTCGCTAATGTCCATTGTAAATGAAGGCTAGTTTACTTTAATTATAAGTCACAGGAACAGCGACCGCCGGGTTCCCAATCTGTGCCGCCGTTAAACGAAAACATCCTTTATATCTTTGTTAGTTTAATTGGTTTTTGCTGCTCATATATCGGTTTCTTCGGGCCTCCTGGCTTATTGCTTCTGTCATGTTTTTTCATTGTTGGTGTTTATGACTTTTTTAGGTTTTTCCTTCCCTCTGAGCAACAGATTTCTCCTCTGATGCTCGTCGCTTTTAACCGTCTCCGACAGCTTCTCTCTTCTCCGCGGTGTCTCATCCCACTCCTCTGTACTTTCTCTCCCTGCTGCCAGGCTCCGTGTGAGAATCTGCGTACGCCGTCGACATATCCTGGCAACATGCTACCTCATCACCCAGGCCAGGGTAACTTTGAGGACTTCACTTGCTGAGCGCAATCCCTCGGAGCATCACAGCGTGCGTTATGCAACCAAAGCCGACCGTACAACGAGGACTTTCTGACACAGGGGTGGGACGAGTGTGAGGAGCTGGTTCAAAGTCTAACAGAGGCCATGTTTTTATAGGAATCAAGGGAGGGGGGAATCAAACGTCAAAAAAACACTTTCACACACCCAAGGCCGAGTGGGGGTGGGGGATATTCCAAATATCAATATGTCTGTAAACTCTTCTATCTCCGTGTTGTCCTCCGGAATACTGCCACAAAAGGACGCTCGTGGAGGAACCCTGCCAAGATGGACCTCACTTTAGAAAGAAAGGACATCAAAAAAAAAAAAGAAAAATAAGTGGATGAAATGAAGAAGAGAAATGTACAGCTCCACTGGCGCATCAATCAGAAAAAAAAAGAAGAAAAAAAAGAACCCCATGCCTTTATAAAAACACAGCAGCACACACCGGTCTCACTCCCACCGGCCTGTCAGGAGGACAGATGCCCACCCACTGCTTACACCCCCCCCCTCGCCCCCTCCCCCTCCCACTTGTAGCCACATCTGTAACCGAGGCAGCGCTCCGTGAAAACAGCAGCTGGACTTTGTGTAGTTTGTCTGAGGTCGTTTATGTGTTCACAGTGAGTGTAGTCAGGTGTGTGGGCGGGGCTTCACGTCAGCAGTGTTACATCATCGATCATTTGAAAACGTTGCTGGTGACGACGCCAGCTGTCAACCATGTAAATGCATGCTCGTGTTTGTCCGGTGCATGTTTTTAAGAGTCTTTTTTTTTAATCTTTTGATTTTATACATACATACATTTTATGACCAAGTTTGCCTCAATGCTATAAATACATCATGTCCCATATTTGTGCGCGTGCGTGTGTGTGTGTCTGTGTGGGCGTGTGTGCACATCAGCTGCTTAGGGAGCGTTTCAAATGGATGAGCTACGCCGACGACTATTTCCCCCTTTTTTTTCCCAATCGTGTTTTTATGATTTTCACACATTCCAGAAGATTCTTCATTCAACTTCATTTGATCTGATCTCCACTCCTGGATGAGGTGAGGTGAGGTGCCCGCTTTTTACTAATGGTGAAATCCTTAAAGAGTTTTGTGGGACTGTTAAATTTATTTATTTTTTCTTTCTTTACCTGTGTTTGTAGCTAAAAGTCTAATCAAAGCACAATACCGCCATATGTAGAAATGTAAAAGAAAGTATACTATTCTTCTTGATATATTGTCCTATTATTACTATGGTATTCGGCAGTATTATTTCAGCTTTTTTTTTCTTTGGTTTTCTTCATATAAAAACATACTCAGTGTTGCCTGATAACGCTGTTCTTGTCTGGTCAAGTTAGTTATCAAAGCATCAATAAAATGTAAATATCCTTTTGGAAACTGTCACAGCAGTTATTTTTGCTTCGACGATGTTTCATGTTGTTGCTTTAAAATGTAAAGAAAGACAGAGAAGTGTTTTCGACTTTTCGAGTGTTTGTTTATGATCTCGGTCATTCTTGGCAAGTGAAGGATTTTGCTTCTCATCCACCATGTTTGTGCTATCTCTCTCTCTCTCTCTCTCTCTCTCTCTCTTTCTCTCTTGCTCTCTCCACCAGTGAACATAATTAGTGTTTTTCTACATTTACATTTTTATAGAATTAAATTAGACTCAACCTGAGGGGCGGGAGTCTTCCCGTTATCTAGATGTTCCATATCAGCTCCGCCCGTTCCTTCTCGCTGCTGTTCAACTTGCTGCCAGCAACTACTACTATTAAGAAACACTATTATTTTGAGCCCCGAGATTTTGAACAGTTTCTGTTCCTGTTTGATAAAAAAAAAAAAAAAAAGAATCTGCACTTTCAGTAGAAATTTAATGAAGACTGTCAATCATTCTGGTTGGCTTTCTCTTCTGATCTGCTGTACTTTTACATTTGGTCCTGGCAGCAGACAGTTATTAGAGATGCATCCTGGTGGAACGTGTCTCTGTTCATCTGAAGCTCACTTTATGCCCTTTAACGTTCCTGGTTATTAAAACAGCTGCTCATCACTTCTCGCCCAGAGGTTAACTTTTTTTCCCTTTTATTTTTTTCCTGTTTTCTTTTTACTAGGATCCCACACATCCTTCAGTTTTACCAATAACA